ACAATAAAATAAAATGAAGAACTGAGGACGCTGAAGAGTGGTGAATCTATGGAATTCACTGCCACAGAAGGCTGTGGAGGCCAGGTCTTTGAGTACATTTGAGACTGAGATAGATTGGTTCTTGATTATCAAGGGGATCAAAGGTTACGGGGAGAAAGCGGGAGAATGGGGTTGAGGAACTTATCAGCCATGATTGAATGGCAGAGCAGACTCGATGGGCTGAATGGCCTAATTTCTGCTCCTATGTCTTATGGTCTTAAGATCTGAAATGAAAATAGAAATTGCTGGAGAAAATCAGCAGGTCTGATAACATCTGTGGAGAGAAAAGGGTTAACCTTTTGAGTCCAGTGGCCAGAATTTTTCAGAACTGGAATTTCAAACTTTCTAATTGATATCTGTGTACAATGTTACATGGGACCAGTTTAATTCGATCCTTTGAAGGACCACTGGAGTAGAAACATTAATTCTGTTTTCTCTCTGCAAATGCTGCAAACCTGTTGCGTTTCTCCAGCAATATCTGGTTTTGATCCAATTTTACAATACTGTTTGCAAACCTTTCAATTCTAATTTGGAAATCCAGAAACTTGGTGTGCAGCTATCAGTTATGAAGATAATATTTGAATTCTTGAAATCTATTAGCATCATCAAAGTCTTAACCATAAGAAACTATGGATCAGGAAATGAAAGGAGGTGCGCTGGTCACATGACAGAAAAAAAGGCTTTCAGAAAAGAAAGAGATAACAAGATGTAGAGCTGGATGAACACAGCAGGCCAGGCAGCATCAGAGGAGCAGGAAAGCTGATGTTTCAGGTCTGAACCCTTCTTCAGAAAACTCCTTCAGAAAAGAATTTCCTTAAGGTGTGTTTCATTAGACGATTCTATGCCAGTGAATAGGTAAGACCTTCTCAAAGACCTGGAGTTTGAAGGGGTATGTCGGCAGATACTCTGGGGTTGGCCTTTACCTCTCAGCCTGAGGAATTGCAACTGGGAGTCACTACAGAGTATTGCACCCTGACTTGATCAGACTAAATAAAATCTTAAAACAACAGCAAATCCATCCTTCCAAAATTTTTTTTCTTCAGTGGACAAAGAAAGGATTACAGGACTTCACCCCAGGAAAAATGGTACATTTCTAACAACAATCTCCTCCTGATCATGTGAGTGTGTACCAATGTGAGGGTGGACTGTGTTACATATGTTGTAGTGAACAACAGACATTTGTCTTTCTTTCGAAACTCACAAGGAAATTTCTCATTTGTCAGTTCCTTGAGATTAAAACAGACAAAATGGTGTCAGTCAGTCAAGAGGGACCATAAAGGGGAACATTCTCTCTATCACCTCTCACAAAAACCTTCCTGAGTTTATAACCAAACTACGAAACCATGCCCAACATGTTCTGAAGAAGGGTCACTGGACCCGAAATGTTAATTCTGCTTTCTCTCCACAGATGCTGCCAGACCTGCTGAGTTTTTCCATCAATTTTTGTTTTTATTTCTGATTTCCAGCAACCTCAGTTCAGAGGTTTTTATAGATAGTAGGAACTGCCGATGCTGAGGTGTAGAGCTGGATGAACACAGCAGGCCAAGCAGCATCAGAGGAGCAGGAAAGCTGATGTTTCAGGTCTGGACCCTTCTTCAGAAATGAGGGAGGGGAAGGGGATTCTGAAATAAATAGAGAGAGAGGGGAGGTGGATGGAAGATGGATAAAGGAGCAGATAGGTGGAGAGGAGATGGACAGGTCAAGGATGGCGGGGATGGAGCCAGTAAAGGTGAGTGTAGGTGGGGAGTTAGGTTGGGGATTGGTCAGTCCAGGGAAGACGGACCGGTCAAGGAGGCGGGGATGAGGCTGGTAGGTAGGAGGTGGCCGCCCCCAACTGCATCCCAAAACCAGCCCAGGTCGTCCCCACCTCCCTTACCTGTCCGTCCTTTCTCCTACCTATCCATTCCTCCCACCTCAACCCCCACCTCCACTTCCTACCTACCAGCCTTATCCCCGCCTCCTTGACCTGTCCGTCTTCCCTGGACTGACCAATCCCCACCCTAACTCCCCACCTACACTCACCTTTACTGGCTCCAACCCCGCCTCCTTGACCTATTCGTCTCCTCTCCACCTGCCTGTTCCTTTAGCCATCTTCTATCCGCTTCCCCCTCTCTCTATTTATTTCAGAATCCCCTTCCCCTCCCCCATTTCTGAAGTAGGGTCCAGACCCAAAACGTCAGCTTTCCTGCTCCTCTGATGCTGCTTGGCCTGCTGTGTTCATCCAGCTCTACACCTTGTTATCTATGGTTTTTATGTTCTGTTTGAGTTGGTGGAAGGTGTATGGAGTAGGCAGCTGGGAAGCTGTTTACATGGCTAGTCACTATTTCACCTTTGCCACATTCCCACTCTGTCTCATCAAAGTTACACATTCTATGTCTCCATTATTGCTTCTTTTCTCTCATTATGCCTCCCACATCAGCCATTTCATCACCTTCTGTTTTGTTGCTGCTAGTCTCCTGTAACTGCCCTGAGCAGACATAAAACAGGAACCTTGGTTACAAACAAAACACCAATCTGTCCTCAACCTGGATATTACTTCCCATAGAACAGATGGCTCATTAGTCACCATTTCTTACATGTGGTCCCCTATTAAAAGCATCACAGGTTTTGTTTCAAGCCTCCTTTTACTTCCAGGGTTTAAGAGATCATTGCTCATTCTACCAGAAGGACCACAGTTTAAGGTCCTTCTGCCAAAATACAATGGGGGGGGGGGATCTGTTCAGTTGTCAGACCTTTTAGTTGCCTCAAATGTACGTAGTATTCTGTGTAGGTATGAAATGCCTTCAGTCTTTGCAGAGAATGTAGGATTCAAAGTTTATATTTCTTGATATACAAAGACTGTGCAGAACTGCTTTGGAACCTGTGTATATATATTAACACATTTTTAATCAATAAAGTATATTTTTGCAAAAAAAAAGTCCAAAGATTTGAATCTCCCCACAGATGCTGTTTCTCCCACAATTTCTGTTTTTGTTTGTTTCCAGCATCACAGTTCTTTGTGTGAAGCTATTGGTAATTGATGATAATGAGATGCATGGAGTTCGAAACTCAGCATCCCTTCCCCCCTCCTTTTGTCCAGATTAAATCAGATTGTCCATGGAGAGAGAGGGGTTTCGAGTCTAGATGACTTTTCATCACAACTGAAGTGCAGTGTGGAGGGGACAGCATTTATGCTATAGTTTGGGGTGTGGGGGTAGTTGGCGTAGTGGTGGAGAAAAGATATGAATTGTTCAGGTTAAGTGATCGAAATGTGAGAATGGCAGAACAATGGTATGTCTCCTGCCAGACTTGAAAGGACAAGACATGCCCCCTTGGGTGGGGGCGGTGGAGTATATGGTAACCGAATGCAACAAGCTGAAAGATAAGGGAAGAAATGGTTCACAATTTGAAGGTGTTGAACTTACCTGTGATCTCCAGCATTGGTTGTTTTCAGTACAGATTCCAGCATCTGCAATAATTTGCTCCTTTATTTTGTTAAATCAGACGACAATGTGGGACCGTTAACCCGCCCCTCCGCTGCGGCGAATAACACGCTTCTTCCCATTGCTCGCTGTTCCAGGCGGTCCCGAGCTCCCTTCACCGCATGGCCCAACGTTTCAATCATTATGTTATTGCTTCAGTTCTTAACATGATTTTTACAAGTGTTTTTTTTTCTCTTGAGGCACTGGTGTTTAGCACACGGAAAATTCAATTACAGGTAAAAACCAAAAGAACTGCGGACGCTGTAAATCAGGAACAAAAACAAAGTTGCTGGAAAAGCTCAGCAGGTCTGGCGGCATCTGTGGAGGAAAAAGCAGAGTTAACGTTTCGGGTCCGGTGACCCTTCCTCAGAACTGAAAGTCAGTCTGCTGCTGTAGTGTGGGAATGGCCAGTGCACAGTGAACATACAATTGGACAATGTGATGTGAAATGTCTTTAACCAGGGGAACAAAAAAATCAGAAGCACTCACCAATGTAAGTCCACTCAGATGTTGCAAAGAAAATATGAAAAACATTAATGATATGACATTATGAAGTGTTCATTATTCATCTTTGTACACCGCCGGGTAGATTTTGGCAGGAAAATATTGACAGTGCACATGGTCGTGACTGGTTAAATTGGCCAGTAAATCCAGGAGATGAAGAGATATTTTGGGGGAAGGATCGAATTGCAAATCACTAAACTTGCAGGTTATTTGCTCTCATTTACTATTTGTTCAAATAAATATCACCCTTAACCTCCACATTATCTGTAAGGTAATACTGAACTTGCAGATTAATTAGCCATTAGTAAAAGTCAGAGCTGGTAAATAGCAGCACATTTTTTTAAACCACTTGATAGATGCTAAGGCAATGGCCAGCAATTTGCAACTCACCGGACCGAAAAATGCACCGGACCCGAAACGTTAACTCTGTTTTCTCCTCCACAGATGCTGCCAGACCTGCTGAGCTTTTCCAGCAACTTTGTTTTTGTTCAATTACAGGTACTTCAATTTGGAAAGATTTCTGAAGCCACCTGAGAGAGAGAGGGTGAAACAAAATCAGAAATTGCAATCACTGGAGTTGAAAGAAAATCTGCTTTCTTCCTACAAATCTGCTGCGTTTCTCCAGCATTTGCTATTTTTGTTTCGGATTTTCAGCACTCGCCGTTCTTTGTTTTATTTCAGAGAGACAGTCGGGTGGAGAGAGTGAGTACAGACAGAAGAAAGAGACGCCTTGAGTAAATTAACCACCTCTTTCCCCAGACCCCGATCCTCACTCAGGTTCAGGGGGTGGAGTTGATCAGGGGGCTGTTCAGAATGGACAAACGGTTCCATCGCCGATCTCGCATTGGAATGAATGAATGAGCTTTGAACCGGTCGGACAGGTTCCACAGTGTCCGGCTGCTCTACATAGTAACGCCCAGAGCGGCTGGGCCGAACCTGCTGACAATTCTCAGTAGAAACAGCTCAGACAGAGAGAGAGAAGCCCGAGTGTGCATCATGTCCCTCGGCTCAGGATCGTGTTTCTGGGGATCAGCGATCCTCATTCTCCGCCTCCTGGATCTAGGGAGCAGAGTTCTGGCGTCTGGAGGTTAGTGAGGGCTGAGTGTCGGAAAGGGAACAGTGAAGAGGGCAAGGGTCTGGGGGATAAGGTTTTGGGGTAGGAGTAAGGAGGGGAGGGTCTCCAGGTGAGGAAGGCGGGAGAATAAGGCCGCTCATTGAGTTTCCTTGTGGCTAATTTCACTCGGGTGTGGGGTTCAGTGTGCCTAGGGGTGTTCTCACTGACTGTGGTGTTTGTGTGAGGGGAAATATTTGTCTGTATTACTAAAGGTTTCTTGGAGAGTTCGGGTTTATATGTTATTCTTGTTTATTGGGTACTCTGTTATTCTGCGTTTATTCACCTTAAAATCATAGAATCCCTACAGCGTGGAAGCAGGCCATTCAGTCCACACCGACCCTCCGAAGAGCATCCACCCAGACCCCCGTCCCCCCATCCCTGTAACCCTGCATAACCCTGTAGGCTAGGGGGATTAGCCTACATATCCCTGAACATTACGGCAATTTGGCCTGGCCAACCCGCACATCTGTGGACTGTGGGAGGAAATCGGAGCACCCGGAGGAAACCGGCACAGACACAGGCGGGGAGAATGTGCAAACTCCGTACAGTTACCCGAAGGTTGGAATCGAACCCGGGTCCCTGGCGCTATGAGAAGGCAACTTGTCTTTAAAGACTTCTAAAAATACATCCTTTTTGGACTTTCTATTTCAGCGTCAAAGAACTCGAACAAGTTAAACGTGTTTTAACAAAGCTGTGTTGGCTTTCTTTCATGTTTTCTGAGGGCCAATTGAATTTCTTCCACAGTCCAATATGTCTTTTTTTTCTCCATTTTATGATTTTATGTCAGATCTCCAGCATCTTGTATTTTATCAGAATTTTGTGTTTATTCTTCTGCATAACAAGTCTGAATGTTTCTCTACTACAGGTTGACTAGCTTAATAGTGGATCTTTCCCTTTTGCTTCTTTCGAACTGTAGTTTAAGATTTACAAACCAGTGTTCTGGTACTCCTCCTCACCGAAAGTGAGGGAAAGGAAAGATTAGTTTGAGAGAGGGGACAAAGAAAAAGTAAGAATAGTGTAATTTTAATTCTCAACAACAATTTGCTATCTACAGGACATGTTATATTGTTTCCCTTTTGAGTTGCAAATTGCTGGCCATTGCTTTAGCATCTATCAAGTGGTTTAAAAAAATGTGCTGCTATTTACCAGCTCTGACTTTTACTAACGGCCAATTAATCTGCAAGTTCAGCATTACCTTACAGATAATGTGGAAGTTAAGGGTGATATTTATTTGAACAAATAGTAAATGAGAGTAAATAACCTGCGAGTTTAGTGATTTGCAATTCGATCCTTCCCCCAAAATATCTCTTCATCTCCTGGATTTACTGGCCAATTTAACCAGTCACGACCATGTGCACTGTCAATATTTTCCTGCCAAAATCTACCCGGCGGTGTACAAAGATGAATAATGAACACTTCATAATGTCATATCATTAATGTTTTTCATATTTTCTTTGCAACATCTGAGTGGACTTACATTGGTGAGTGCTTCTGATTTTTTTGTTCCCCTGGTTAAAGACATTTCACATCACATTGTCCAATTGTATGTTCACTGTGCACTGGCCATTCCCACACTACAGCAGCAGACTGACTACAGCTCAGTGTTAGTGTTTACATTTATTGAGTATATGTCATTTTGACTCCAAACAAGTTTTCTCTAACTCACATCGACTCCAGTTTTGCTTGGGCTGCTTGATGCCATGTGTGGTCTAGTGCCTTTAGCTATTTCTTGTTGCCATGTGGTGTGAGTCAAACTCGCCCGTCTTTTGGCATCTGTGATGCTGGAGACTTCCGGAGCAGGCAAGATGGGTCATCCACTTGATGTTTCTAGCTGAAGATAGATGCAAACACTTCTGCATGGTCTTTTGCACTGGTGTGCTGGGCTTCCCCAACTTTGAATATAGGAATATTAGTGAAGCCTCTTCATCCAGTGAGTTGTTTAGTTGAACCTCTCTTCGTAATACAGTCCCTCCGTACGCCATAGCAGCAGAGGGAACTTTCTTTTGACTGCTTCCAACTTCCAACCTCCCTACTTTTATATTCCATTCTCTTTTAAATAAAGGTCAACATTCCATTAGCCTTATTTCCTGAATTTGGGTGCTAGCTTTTTGTGATTCATAGACGAGACTGTTCAAATCCCCCCTCTTCTGTAGCTTTCTGCAGTCTTTCTCTATTTAAATAATATTCAGCACTTCTATTTTTTCTGCCAACGTGTATAACCTCACATTTCCCCTCATTATATTCCAGCTGTCAAGTTTTTTTCCCTTTTACTTAACCTGTCTACGTTGCTGTGTCATTCCTTGCCACTTGCCTTCCCATCTATTTTTATGTCATCTGCAAACTTGGCTAAAATACATTCACTTTTCTAATTCAATCACTAATATATGCATTGTAAATAATTGTGGCCCCAGCACTGATCCCTATGACACACCACTATTTACAGGTTGCTATCCTTGAAAATGCCTCCTTTATCCCAACTCTTACTTCTACTAGTTAGTTCAAATATATATAATACATCCACTGATTCCCCTAATCTATGCTGCTTGTTACACCCTCAAAGGATTGGTAAATTTATCAGACATGATTTCCTCTTCATGAAGCCACACTGCGTGATCAGTTCTTTTTCTCTCTCAAGTATTTTTCTAAGTTGCTTTTGAACATTCTTATTGAAACTGCTTCCAGTTTCTTCAGACTAGAACATCCCAGATTACCATTTTCAAATGGTGTACCTCCATGTTAATTTTATACCTCATGCACAAGTACATTTAAAGGCCTCTGAATATCAACATTTAACAGAACACCTTCTTTAAAAATGTTCTGCTTTCATATGGTTACCACCAATTATGCTCCATCTGCTAAGTAAAAATCTCTGCAGAACTCCCCTGCCCCTCTTTGAAATAGTGCCAAAGGGTTTTTTACATTCACATAGTTGGCAGACTTTGCCTTCTCATCTCAAAAATGGCACCTCACAGTCCAGCCTTCCCTCAGCCAATGTCTGTCTCTGAGCAACAGCATCAAGTATAAATGATTTTGTCTCATTGCTTAATCTCATTGCTACTTTTAGGACCTTATTCTGTCCAGGTTGGCTGCAGTATTTATGTCAAGGCAGTGACTACTTCAGAATTCCCCATTCTGTGCATGATGTGCTTGAGCCAACCAGAGGTTATGAAAAGCACTATAGAAATGTGAATACTTTCTCTGAATTTGTAAAGCTTCTCAAGACAGGTGAATGGGGACTATCCCCACATCTACGCTTAATACTCTCTTCCAGCATTACTGCTCTCGTATAATCTCAATATGTAGATGAGTCATCACTATTCAAGGTTAAAGTGGTGTTGGTTCAAGACTAGCTCTAAAGGATTTCCACAAGTGCAAGGTTTCCACATCACTGCCTGAAATCACCAATGTGTGACAGCTTCATTGAAGCTTCATTCAGATCAAAGAATCGCTCCTCACACTGAGGCCTGTGCTCTACTGCCTGTCACTATACTACAAAGTTAAGTTTCAACTCTGATTTGACTGGATAGAAAGTAGAGGTGCTGATGTGACTTTTTTTTCTTTCATCATAAATGTTTAAATTCTGATTTTTCAACTCTTACACTTCCTGGCTCTGTGCCTGTCTTACAGGATCTTTTGGGTGGGGACACCACATGGTCAGTGTTTGCAGTCAATGAATTTCCATGAATGTGAAGCTTCGGTGGTGAGGATATATTGAAGAAATTAAGACTGTGTTTTCCTGGAGAGAAGAAGGCTGAGACGAGATGTGAATAAGGTTTTCAAAGTTATGATTAGGCTGGACAGAGTAGATAGGGAGAAGCTGTTTCCATTGTAAAAGAAACACGAACAAGAGGGCATGGAATTAAAGTGATGTGCAAATGCAGCAAAGGCGATGTGAGAAAAAAGATACACTATTTTTCTCAAAGGATCCTCCCTCCGGACAAACCTCAAGGGATCTCTCTCCCACTGCAACTCTCTCGTAATCTCTTCGGCCCTGAAACTGCTCGACCACGTCCTGAAGCAAACCAGGTACTACAGCCACATCACCTTCCTTAGCACCTGCCTCCATTCCCGCCTCCTCGACCTGTTTGTTTCCTTTCCACCTATCCTCTCCTCTATCCATCTTCTATCCGCCTCCCACTCTCTCCCTATTTATTTCAGAACCCCCTTCCCCTCCCCCTTTTCTGATGAAGGGTCTAGGCCCAAAATGTCAGCCTCTCTGCTCCTATGATGCTGCTTGGCCTGCTGTGTTCATCCAGCCCTGCACCTTGTTGCTAGTTGCACTGCCTGGAAATGTGGTGGATGCAGGTTCAATTAAGGCATTCAAGATGGTGTCGGATGTTTTTGAATAGTAATGACATACAAGGATGTGGGGAAAATGCAGGAGGTAATAAATGCATTAGGTAGTAAAGCTAGACTCGATAATAGAGCTGGTGCAAGCATGATGGATTGAACGACGACCTTCCGTCCACAGTTATCAGAAGGGAAATAAATTTTTGAAGTAGCAACTCCCCTGCCATAGTCACATGATTCCCCTAAACTATTGCATGATAATAACGAATGTGATAGATAGCCACAAAATATGGGATCTTAATTCTGACTGACTAGTGGGATATTATATAAAGTGCTAACCCATTATCTGAGAAAAACATTAGCAACACTAATGGGTGGGATTTCTTTTCCAGGACTTCATGGGGAAGATCACTGGGCATCCACCTATCCAGAATGTGGGAATCGACAGCAGTCACCCATTGACTTTCACACTGGCATCTTTGAGTATGATCCAACCTTAGAACCCATCCAGTTGCTAGGCTACAACCTATCAGCAGCACTGAATTTTTCTTTAACCAATGACGGGCATGCAGGTAAGAAGCAAAAGCAAATCATGTTTGCTAAACCAATCAAAATGTGGAAGTAGAATCCTGAGCAAAATCTACTAATCAGAACAAAAGGAATCTTAACCAATTAAATATGTTTGGAACAAATTTTTGACTTTTCCCTCAATCAGCTTGATTAAAGGGGTATTATTAGTCAGGAACTGAGATGTTAAAACATTAAAAAAAACTGCAGGTGCTGTAAATCAGAAACAGAAATGGAAATTTTATGGAAAAGCTCAGCAGGTCTGGCAGCATCTGTGGAGAGAAAACAGTGAATGTTTCGGATTGAGTGACCAGTTAGTAAAGTCTGACCAGCTATGGTTTTACACAAAATTGACAGGTTGATAATCTACCCAGTAGTAGTCACATCCATTTCCAGTAATCTCCCATAACCAAACTAGATCAAACACATATAAAACCTATTTTCTGCAAAATCATCTTTGTCTTCATCCATCATCCGTGAAATCAAGGTTCTGATTTTGAAAGAAGACTTGCACTTTTTGCAACCTGAAGACATTACGAGTACTTTACAGGCTATTATTGAACTGTACTCATTGTTATAAATCAGGAAACACAGCAGCCAATTTAAATAGTAATGTGATAATGACCAGATAATCATTTTGTGATTTGGTTGAAGGATAGAAGTTGACCAGGACACTGAGATGTTGCAGAGATAGCAGGAACTGCAGATGCTGGAGAATTGTACATTTTTTTCTGAAGAAGGGTCTAGGCCCGAAATGTCAGCCTTCCTGCTCCTCTGATCCTGCTTGGCCTGCTGTGTTCATCCAGCTCTACACCTTGTTATCACTGAGATGTTGCCTTCATTTAATATTACATTCAATAGATGCCTCCCTCAATGCAGAGGGCTGTCAGTACTGTACTACCATGTCAGTCTTGATTTTGAGCTTGAGTCTCTAGAGTGGGAATTGAACCCACAGACTCTGAGAACTCCCAACTGAGACAAATGCTGTGTTCTATGTGTGATAAGGAGTTGCCTCCATCTGAGAATGAAACAGCTTGTGGTTCAGGATAGAAATGAGGCACCTTGAGATCTGCAAGCAATTATTTTAGATCTCAGTGACTGCTCACTCTTTGTTACAGCAAAAATGACCTTGCCTCCAACCATGCAAATGATCAGTGCATCTCATCGCTATACCGCTGTCCAACTCCATTTGCACTGGGGGAGTGAAACTGAGGCTTTGGGCTCTGAACACACCATCAATGGGAGACATTATCCATCAGAGGTAAGATTGTTGAACCCAGCCTGGGTCTCATCTGATCTTAAAAGCCTTATAACAGGAACAAAAGGAGAGCCTTGCATTATATAGCCCCATTCACTATTGCAGGGTATCTCAAAGCACTTTGCAACAAATTCATCCATATTGAAGGAAACAAACAGCCAGTAAGATCCTTTGAGCTGAAATGTGATCATGAGCAGGTGACCTGATATTGACTGAGAGGTTTAGTAAAATCACATGTTCTTCTCAAAATAGCCCATTGGCATCTTTTACATTCACCTGCACTGGGCCTTAGTGTAATGCCTTGTCTGACATTCATTCAGAATTTGTGCCTACAATTTGTGCTTCAAATTCTATAGTGGGCCTTGCTCCTATGACCTTCTGTAATGGCTACCATCCCATGATTCTGCTTCTGGGATATTGCTGTCCCTCACAGAAAACTGGAATATCTCATGGAAAACATCCAGCATGTCTGTGATAAGAAATTTCTGCAGTTGTGGATGTCAAAGGGAAGTTATGTTAACTATTTGGGGGAAAGATGGTTAATCCAAATGAGCAAGGTCCATCTGTCACTCAGGACATTGAGCGTCGATTGTGATCCCACATTGACTGCACCCACACTTCCTAAATGATTCCAATGTAGCTGCTCTCATACAACTGTACAGATCCCACGTGACCAGATTGATCCCACACTGACGAGTTGCCAGGATAGTGTCAGGGCATTGCCAAGGCAACCTCTCTCCCTGTCCCTTTCTTGTTCTCCTTCCCTTTCTCTCACTCCACAACCCTGACCCTACCCTTGTTCAAGATTTATAAACTCTTGATTTCTGTACTCTGTTAATAAAGTCAAAAATCCCAAATTGCTGTTTTTAAGACATATGTACCTCTACTTACTTTAACATTGGTCTGATTTTGTGTATATTCCCTCTCATCAGACCATGACTTATCAGTACACATCTTCACTGTGTTAAATTTCACAAGTTCTTCTAGTCTCTCCTTAGAACTGGAACTGCTACCCAACTGTTGTCCTTTTAAATTTCTCTTGGAGTCCTTTATAAAATGGGACACCAAGAACTGCACCCAGTTCTCAGTAACTGACACAGCCAATGAAGCTCATAGAATCCCTACAGTGCAGTGAGTCTGCACCATCCCTCTGAAAGCATCCCACCCAGGTCCATCACCCTACCCTATTCCAGTAACCCTGCATTTCCCATGGCTAATCCACCTAACCTACACATCCCTGAACACTATGGCTAATTCAGCATGGCCAATCCACCCAACTTGCACAGAAGCCCACGCAGACACATGCAAACTCTACACAGACAGCTGTCTGAGAGTGGAATTGAACCCAGGTCCCTGATGCTGTGAGGCACCAGGGCTAACCACTGTGCCACCAAGCCACCAGCAAGTTATTCTGCAGGTGCAATAAGTTTGAAATCTGCAGGCAGTGCGGAGTGAAGCCATTAGATGTCAGCGCTTGAGTTACCAGGAAAGACTTTGTACTTTTGAACCTTTCATGGAAGAAGCTGTTAAGTGAGAAATCCAAAGGAGTATTTAGAGTGGAAAAATAAAACTGAGGCCACATTGAGTCAAGCAGTGGGAGTGGAATTACAAGCACTGATTCAAACTAGTGAAACTTCCATGCAGGTATCAAAAGGTTCGAGATTCAGACAATGATCAGCATTTTGCACAGCCAGACTGGTGCAAGCAGTAATATGTAAGCTGATCAACATGTTCAGACATGTTATTACACACCTGGAGCAGGTGGGACTTGCACCTGGACGTCCTAGTCCATTGGTGGGGGCACTACCATTACACCACAACAGCGCTTTGAGTTGCAGCCAATTAGTTAAATGGTGACAGATTGGAAAATGTTGATGTTGAAAGCCACCATTCCGGTGTAGAAAGGTAGATATTTTCTAATTATTCTGTTCAGAGATGTTATTACACACCTCTGAAGGAGGTGGGACTTGAACCCAGGGAAGCTTGACTACAGGTAGGGACACTTCTACTGCACCACAAGAATCTTGGCAAAATCACTGGAATGGTTGAAGCTCTTGGTCTTTCACCTGTTTATATTCTGTCTTTCTCTCTCCATCCCTTCTTTATTTCTCTACTTACCCTTCTTTCCTCACTTCTGTACCCCCCCCCCACATCTCTCTCTGCCACCTCTTCTTTTGTCTCTCCTCTCGCACCCCTTCCTTCTCATTCACTCTCCCTTGAGCTCTGTTGAAGTGTTGAAAAAAAATCTGAGACCACTCTGAATCCACCCCACGACTCATGACCCTGTGTAGGGTGTGTACAATGGGGGACAAGATGGAGAACCATTTTGAAGATTCGAAAGCTGCCACAAACGAAATGTCAATGTGGAGGGTGGTGAGGACTGGTCGTGAGGGAGGGTGTATGGACTGGCAGTGGGGGGGGGGGGGGGGGGGGGGGGGAGGGAGTGCGAATGGGATTAGAACTCACGGTCGGGATGTTGTTCAGGCTTGTGGTAGGACTGGTGCTTGGGGGTGGGGCCCATTGGGTTGGCACTGGGGGTAAGATTTTTGGACTGGCAGTGGACTGACAATAGGGAGGGGACGTTAGGCTGGTCATAGGGGAACAGGGCTGGTCTGATGTTGGGGGAGGAGGTTTAGATTGATGTTGGGGGAGGGAGTTAGACTGGCAATGGGGAGATGGTGCTGACCCACATCAAATTCCAAAGGCTGCTCAGGTTAGCTACATCCTTTCTGCACATGTCCTGAAGCCTAAGGTAGAAAGTTCTGGAGGATGGTGATGGCTCTGGGAGCCAGGACCCAAGTCCAGAAGGAGAAGTGAAGGGTTGGGATGGAGGGGGAGCAGAGGGGGCAATCTTTGTCGATAGCAGCTAAATGGGCTGAGGGATTTGTGGACAGTGTAGTCTTGCAGCCTATTTCTGTGGGCAGACACAGGTATTAACAGAAGGCAGTAAGTGCATTTTGGAATGTGTGACCTACAGATGGAAATAAACTGAAACTGGTTTCTCCCTGAAATGTCAGGATAATTACTAGACAAATTAACCACAAGCTCATGCTGCACTTTGAGTCTGTCAAACCTCTTCCATCTGTGTTGTGTCAAATTATCCTCTTCCGGATGCAAAGCTACCACACTAATCACTGCTGTGATCTGTTCATTGTCAATTTGCTTGATGGTTTCCTTGGAATCAGGACTGAATGAAGAGGAATAAATGTCCGCCAGCCTTGAAAGAACAGCAGGGTTTCAGGCAGCTAGTCTTTGTTTGCTGTACATTATCTACAAACTGATTGGATTTGGCTGCTTCAAACCACTTGGTCTTCAAATCAAGTTGTTTATATTTAAGGAAGTGTCTCTGAAGGACAGATATTGAATCAGGGCCAGGTTGGTGTGCCTGGTGCCCTGAGCTCATTTTACACACATACTGTCTTGTCGTGATTTAGATGAGAAACCTCAATCTTTGCTATATAGTTGGAGTCTATCGAAGCCGAAGGATCAAGTGGAAAATGTGGCTAATGTGCTCTAGTATGGTGATACATTACTGATCTATTACAGAATTATTATGGTGCAGAAGGAGGCCATTCAGTCCATTGTGTCTACACTAGCTCTCCAGTGATCATTTTGACTTTGTGTATTTACTATTGCTCCTATTTAAATAATCATCGAACGCCTTTGTGAATGTTTCATTGATTCTGCCTCCAGCCACATCCAGGCAATCCGTAGCTGAACAGCTCATTGTGTCAACATAGAGTCATAGAGCTGTACAGCATGGAAACAGACCCTTTGGTCTGATTCATCCGTGCTGACCAGATATCCTAAATTAATCTAGTCACATTTGTCAGCATTTGGCCCATATCCCTCTAAACCCTTCTTATTCATATACCCATCCTGATGCTTTTTAAATATTGCAATTGTGCCAGAGTCTACCACTTCCTCCGGCAGCTCATTCCATATATGCACCACCCTCTGCTTGAAAAAGTTGGCCCCTTCATCCCTTTTAAATCTTTTCCCTCTCACTTTAAATCTATGCTGTCTAATTTTGGACTGCTGTACCTTGGGGAAAAGACCTTGCCTCTTCACTCTATCCATGCCCCTCATGATTTTATAAACTTCTATAAGGTCATCCCTCTGCCTCCGACTCTCCAGGGAAAATCGCCCCTACTTATAGCTTAAACCCTCCAACCCTGGCAAAATCCTTTTAAATATTTTCTGAACCCTTTCGAGTTTCACAACATCCTTCCTATAGCGGCGAGACCAAAATTATGCACAATATTCCGAAAGTGGCCTAACCAATAGGGAACCATCTGCTCCCTCAGCTCCAACCCTAACCTCACTATAAAACAGTCCCTATATACTTGCATTCCCCATGCAGATGGCCTGAAAGCCCTCCGCTTCTTCCTGTCCCGCAGGCCCGACCAGTCCCCTTTCACCGACACCCTTATCCGTTTAGCTGAACTCATCCTTACCCTTAACAACTTCTCCTTCAATTCCTCCCACTTCCTACAGACAAAGGGGGTGGCCATGGGTACCCGCATGGACCAAGCTATGCCTGCCTCTTTGTAGGTTACGTGGAACAATCCCGCTTCTGCAACTTCACTGGCCCCATCCCCCACCTCTTCCTCCGTTACATCGATGACTGTATCAGCACCGCCTCGTGCTTTGACAAGGAGCTCGAACAGTTCATCCACTTTACTAACACCTTCCACCCCAACCTTAAGTTCACCTGGACCATCTCTGATATCGCTCTCTCCTTCCTGGACTCTCTGTTTCCATCTCTGGCAACCACCTGGAAACTGATATCTATTTCAAGCCTACCGACTCCCACAGCCACCTAGAATACACCTCCTCTCACCCACCTTCCTGCAAAAATGCCATCCCCTATTCCCAATTCCTTCTCCTACGCCGCATCTGCTCCCGAGATGAGGCATTACACTCCCGGACATCTCAGATGTCCTCGTTTTCAAGGACCGCAATTTCCCCTCCACAGTGGTTGAAAATCCCCTCGACCACAT